CAGCCTTTCTTATGTTCTTATTATGTTCTTATGTTCATTATTTGGAAGCATATGAAGTCCAGCAAATAGGCATACTATTAGCATTTCTTCGAAGCATTCTGGGAGAGGCAACCTACATCTTGGTTACACCCTGCTTTGTTTGTGAAAAGCTGCTCGCTGATTTCACAGTGCTCTCAGGGAAGTGAACTGTGAAGCTAAAACAACAACAAAAAGTTTGATTTGCTCCTTTGTGCTGGATAAAGATGGCCTCCTACACTTTTAAAAGATTTTATTATACTTATTTTTTTCACATCAGCGGTATCTGTCAGGTTCTCCTTTCCCTTTTCTTGCTGTAAGGACTTGCTGATATCTTTGGAGGACCTAAATATTGATATCACATGAGGCTGTAACTTGAGCTACATCTAACGGGATTTCACTTTCAACTCAGATCACTGAGCACTCGACAGAATTGCTTGAGGGTTACCCTACTGAATTTGCCTCAATCCCCTTTCAAAACTTCTCTTTCCCAAGTAGCCACTGGAAAAAATCTGTTTCAGGAAATACTGAGCTGAGCATGATAAAGATCATGTCATTGTTCAGTTTTTGCTTAAATACATTATTACTGCTTGACTGCCCTACCTCATTATTATTAATCACCGCTCACTCTGTAAAGTACCACCTTAAACTATTCCTACTGACAAAAGGACTCTGAGTAGTGGTGAGCCAGGAAGGGTTTCTCCATCCAGCTTATTCCCACAATTCTTCTGAAAATTTAAAGAAAATTACTTCTGGGGACTTGCAGGTGCTAATTAAAAGGAGTCCTGGATTCACCAAAACTTCTGTGCTACCCAGATAGTCTCTTCCACCCAGCAGCTCCCACTCCTGGGTAAATCTTCCTCCACACACTTATCCCACAGTTGGGCTATTGTCTTTCTTCCATTCATGGGTCTTTGGTCTTTCTCCCAGGTCAGGTTGACTAGCCAGCTCAAGTCCATCTTGCCACATGGGCAGTTATCATCTGTATTCTGTACTCTCCATTACAACTTGTTGCTTTGGCTCTACCTCATTTCTCTATGCTGACCTCTCTTCCTGGGGATCTGAATCCCAAGGATGCTGCTTTAATCTGCCTCTGAAGATCTGGCAGATAAATGAGAAGATCTGCCAGAGGACCTGTATTTGTGATGTTCAGCGACATGTAGGAGGGACACAAGGGGGGGGGAGGCACCAGTTAAGGGGAGGCACGTGCCCTCCCCACATGACTCCTACCCGCCCTGAGCCTGGGGCCCCCATCCCCTCCCCATCCCACGTTACCTGGCGGGGTGTGGGGGGCTCTGTCCCGCTGCACTGCACCGGGCAGTGTCCCCTCACAGGCAGCGTGGCTGGAGGCTGCCTGGGAGAGTGCAGCCACTGCGCTGCACCGGGCAGCGTGGCCGGAAGAGGAGAGGCTCTGGCCCTGCCTCTTCCCTTCTGGCTCTGGCAGTTGCTGGTCCCTTGCCCCCTGGCGTTTGGGGAGGAGCATAGGACCCTTCTGGGCCCTTCCCCCCCCCCCCATGTCTCCACGTAGACATTCACTGTTGCTCTGAGAACTAGTTAATAATTTTAACTAGTCTTTTAATGATAGAACATGCTGTATTTTCCCACCCTCACAATTTACCTGTGCAGTTCAAGAATATTCATACAATAAAATCTGATCTTGATTTTCCTCACAGGTAAAAATTATACCAGCTTTATTCATCTTAAAATCTTTTCTACTATGGCTCTTATAATAAAAGCTTTTTTTCGTTTGTTTGTTTTCTCCCGAAAGAAGCCTTGACCTGGCCTTTCTAATTATGCCTGTAGTCATTTTTTCCCCATGGCTGATGTGTTGTGCATGCTTTTGTTTTGCATGCCTTTTTTCTCATCTAAGAGGTTGCCTGTGCAATTTTTGACATCACAGTTTTTGCATGTGAAAACCATGTCTTCAGTTTTTGAGGATACTATTGAAAAATCTGTCCCTTAGCATTGCTCATTACATAACATTGTGTAGCATGGAGTCCTACCTGGTTGAATTTGAGGCTTCCGGATGAGGCCTCCTCTCCAATCTGTATCAGTTTTAAAGTGCAGAAAATAGACTACACAACGTTTTAACATTTGAAGTTTGATCTGTATTGCCAGGAACTGACCTCTAATTGAGGTGGGTGGAAATAAATTATTAACTAGCACAGCCATCTAATCATACCATCACTGATAATCAAGAACATATCACATAAAGCTGTACTATAGAAATTGAATGACATTCCAAAGATCAGGGGGACATGCATGTGTTTACAAGAGCTGACATTCTGCTAGCTCGCTGATGGGCATGCGGCATCTCACTCCTTCTTGCCTTGTCAGTCCTATAATTTGCCACCATTGCAGAACCCAAGCTACACAGAGAAAGTTAAGGGTGTCAGACCAAGGTCTGCAATGCCACTTTTCTAGCAAGTGGGTCTAAGAACCTGTGACTATTAGAGCTACTTGGATAAACTGATGGCTGTGGACTTGCTTGGGGGTTAAGCACAAGGTTCCTTCTGCTGTTAAACTGGCTAGTTCTTCTGGATGTTATTCTCTTTTAGGTAGATGTTCAAGGGGAGTTGGACACCTAAGTCATTTAAGTTCTTCTGGAAAATCCCACTTTTAATTTCTGTCTAGGAATGTATACTGCATCTCTGTTTCTATGGGAGATTT